CAGTTCCTTTGTTAAATATGAACAAATTTGATAGCGATAAACTTATTTAGTGATACAACAATTTTTAATAGCGAAAAATTTGTACTTTTTAGAGTTCTAAATTTATAGCCAAAGTTTGGCGATTTAACCCGGGAATACCCAACAGACTACGCATAAAATAGTTTCAGTTTCATTTGTTCTACGTTGTTAAATTGCTGTTCTCCCAATAACCTATCGCTGGAACATTTTCGTTACCCAAGACAGCCAAAAATAGACCAACTTTTCCCATCTCTTTTTAATCCGAATTTCTCCTATAATCAATATATTATATTTTCTCCTATAAATCTATAAATTGTATAAAAGTATATAAAATATAAATAAATCTATAAATCTAAATATAATTATGTACAATATAATATATATATATATTTACCTATCTATTTTCAATTTATAGTTCAGAATATGGCAGTTCTATTTCAGCATAGAATTTGTTCACCGTTGGAGCGCAGCAATCGATCAAAGATTCGTAGATAACAAATAAAAATATTAAGAACAATCGTTATGTTTAACACGACAGAACTGTCGGAACTGTTTATAACATTCGACACGTTTCAGTAACATTCCTATTTTTTCGTTTCGTATACGACAAGGCATATATGTCATCGTGCGTCCCATTAATCCGTCGTTGAATCGTCAAGACAGAATGCGTTCGTCGAGCCACGACGAGCAGAAACGTGCTCGCCGATTTTCATGGTATTTTTAGCTCGATACCTTGCATCAAACCACCTTTTTCGAGCTAAGAACATTTGGATTCGGGAGAAGCATAATCGGGAGACGTTAGGGTCCTAACGTCGTCTCGGAAGTCTACGCATCCTCTGAGTACAACATGAAAACCTATGCGTACAAAATCGATTGTCTGCGGACGATTTCCGTCCCTCGTTCCTCGGAGTCTTGAGGGAAGACGTTTAGAAGTATTCATAGAGATCGTTTTTTTTTTAAAGAACTCCTTAAAACATAATTCCCTGGAAAAGAGAAACACAGAACCGATTGACTGACTCTTATATTAGACTCTACATTTTTACCATCAACGAAGGAAATTTCGTCATTCCACATAACTTCAGATCACTGCGCCGTCACGAATTTTATTTATTATTCTTTTTTTTGTTTGCCTTCTCGGTTTTGGTTTACGTTATTTGCGGTCTTCTGAAAATTTCGAATCGGGTTACACGTTCTTGTGAAAAAAAAGATATCCGAACGAATGACAAAACGAAAGCGTCGATCTCGTTACGATTTTCTTGTCGGATCGTTGATATTAGCGTTGATATTTTTTTTCTTTTTATCTGCGCGTCTCAATCGATTTAGATGAACGGCGTGATAGTACGCGAACGTTCTTATTAATCGTTTGTCGCGGATATTTTAGAACCGTTTGATGATCTCGCGGATTTGCGTGATTTAAAGATTTAGCACGTCGCTGCGCTTGATTTTTACGGCTCGTGAAACAATTCGGTTTAATCGATGTTGGTATTAGAACGGTGTTATTTTAGGTGCGGATGGTCGTGAAAGTAACGCGGCACTTTTAAATGTTATATTTAATACTGAAAGTGAGAGGAAATGGTTCGATCACGTGTGTCAATAATTTCGAATAATTTGTGCAGCAGGGATGCAAAATTTGTACGCGTTCCCTTATGCAAATATCTGATTAAAAATTAAAACTCGCACGATTGAAGAGAAATATTACAAAAGATTTTCAAAGTATTCGATTCTTTTCGGTTTCGACTAAGTGAATTTATCTAAAAATTAATTGTTTAAAAAGCTGTTATACATATAATAAAAAATAGTAGTACATTTTGTATGTTTAATGTATATTTAATTTGTCATACGATCGTTTATTAGATATAATAAATCGATATAATAAGGTGTTTCAGAACAGTGACAAATAATAGATTCGACTGTTTAATAATTATTACCGACAATTTAATAATTATCAACTATTAATCATTCAATTTATAACATCGGCAATATTTTTATTAATCTTCTTATTGGAACGTTTACTTCGACTCGTTCACTTTGGTAATATACGAAAAATATAAATATATATAATATATATATACATATAATAATATTATATATATATTATTATTATTATTATTATTTTATATATATTATATTATATATATAATATAAATATATTACGACATCTCTACGATAAGAATACGTATCTTAAAATTCGTGAAAAGAACCTTCGACTTTCCAAGTATTAAATAAAACGTTAACAAGCGCGGAATATTTTCACTTCCCGTCCAATTGCCAATGTCGCGTTGTGAATGTTGTACGCAGAAGTGTCGAAAGCTGCGTTTGTTAATATTGTTCAATGAACAGATAAGAATGAAAAGAAGACGATGACAATGTAACTATCCTCGAATGGAAAACTGTTAGATCGAAACGTGACCTCGTTTGATTTGACAGCCATATCTTGTCGGTTCCTTGAAATGAAAGATATACAACAATACCCGCTTAATAGACATCGGTATTCAGGATCGTCTCGCGATCATTATCGTGGAAACTAGCTGTTTCGGGGATTGCAACCCGTTCTCTTCCCTCGCATTGTTCTCTTTCTCAGCGCAACGAAGACGACTGAAAGAAGCTCCAACAAAAGGGATCGCGTTAATTGGTTCGATTTCAACTTGAAGCAATTTCTCTTTTAAAACTGTTAATTACTTGGAAGCTATAAACAATTCAGGTTGCATTACTGTCAAATATATTGGGAACGTAATTCGACATTGATAGCAATTTAATGTTAATAAAGCGTTTACAAAACAAGGCAGTTACGTTGAAGCAGACTATCTGGGCTTAGCTTCAATTTGTACAGATATCTTTTCATTCCAAAATTGAAAAAATTGATGTTGAAACGATGCTGAAAATGCTTTCGGTTCAACTGAGAAAAGTATTTTCAATAGAATAATACACTGAACAAAGAAGTAGGTTTATTTAGTAAAGGGAAATTCACGGCAACCCGAGATGTGGCATTTCTGGGAGAAATTATTGTACACTGCGATGCAAAACAAGGCAGTTCCGTTGAAGCAGGCTATCTGGGCTTAGCTTCAATTTGTACAGATATCTTTTCATTCCAAAATTGAAAAAATTGATGTTGAAACGGTGCTGAAAATGCTTTCGGTTCAACTGAGAACAGTATTTTCAATAGAATAATACACTGAACAAAGAAGTAGGTTTATTTAGTAAAGGGAAATTCACGGCAACCCGAGATGTGGCATTTCTGGGAGAAATTATTGTACACTGCGATGCAAAACAAGGCAGTTCCGTTGAAGCAGGCTATCTGGGCTTAGCTTCAATTTGTACAGATATCTTTTCATTCCAAAATTGAAAAAATTGATGTTGAAACGGTGCTGAAAATGCTTTCGGTTCAACTGAGAACAGTATTTTCAATAGAATAATACACTGAACAAAGAAGTAGGTTTATTTAGTAAAGGGAAATTCACGGCAACCCGAGATGTGGTATTTCCGGGAGAAATTATTGTACACTGCGATGCTTTCAGTCTCGCTGGCCTCGAATCCATTGAAGCTGAGATCGAGCAATCAAGTAATCCTGATTAGCTCACGAGACCGATCGAAATCGAGTCGAAAGTTCGAGTAATCCGAGGAAATGGTGAGAAAGAACGTGAAACGGGACAAGTGCGTCTATTAAGCGGGCACTACTGTAAATGGTACATGCTCCGCGGTGATGGGTGAAAGTAGGGTTTGAGGGGGGGGGGGGTGAAAGGGTTCTACATCAACCCACAGGGTGTGCGGTAGCACGAAATAAAAGATCATGGTATTCCTACGTGGGTAAAAGAGTTTGAACATCGGTCATGCATATAAGTCACTAGAGTTAGTCTAACCAACCAATTCAAACAGAAAGCTTTAGGGGTGGGGGGTTAATAGCACTGCGCAACTGGCTTTACTTTCGCAAGCTTCTGTATCTCGTGTCTGTTCTCAGATTGATGTGAGCACGACTCGGCGGTCGTGACGAAGTCACGAGTCCGTTTCACGATTGTTCGAACGCGTACAACAATCATCGTGAATACGTCTGCGGCGCTCGTCTCTCTGCCACGCATCCGCGTCAACGTGCCAAAATAACGGCCGTGTGTCGCGCGCGTTATCGAGCTTGAATCTTTTCCCACGCGAAAGAAAGAAAGAAGTTCCCCGCGGAATAATCGTGTCGCGGCAGTTCCGCGACAGTCGTTCTTTTTTCTCTCCGTTTTCGAGATCGAAGACACGGCCGAGATACCGTCCGTTCTCTAAGGCGCCATCACAGCAGCACGTTAAAACACAGTCGCACCTTGTCGAGCAAACGTCAATCAATCTCACGTTTCACATAAACCTTTGATTCCGATGGCATACCGTTAAATAGCGCAAAGCTTTCCTCGTTCGCGGGAACACGCGTTGTTGTCCGACGTTGTTCGTCGCCTCTAGTTAATGGATATCAAAAGTTACATGTATCTACGAGCATCCTAGGCTTTTGGTGTTCAAAATCAAAGAAAAAGATAGAAGCACAGTGTTCGGAACAAACGTAGGCCGAGCTCATTTTCTCTAACGTTAAAAACTAGCCCTCGTGACGACACAGGTACATATACATATATATATGCGTCCTCGCATCGACACGGAGGAGGCGTCGTCCTCTCTCCTCGCAGCGTAAAGTGTGAGAATCGCCGCCGCGATCAAAGGAAAAGAATCATTGCTTTGCTTTGTTTTTGCTTTGCTTCGATTTGCTTTACTTTCGTTCTTTTTTTGCTTTCTTTTTTTTTACTGCTTTAGGTCTTCGTTTGCTTTTTGCCTGCTCTTTTTTCGTTAGTGGACACGGAATGCTCACACGCTCTCACGCTCACGCCTCTCACACGCATGTCACGTACACCCGCATTCGCTTTTTTTTTTTTGTTACGATTAAAAAACCTCTAACACGTATCACGTTTCTAAATGCACACGGACAACACAGACTCTCCTCTACTCTAATTTCAAACACTTACTGAATCTTCTTATTAGATTGCCGGTGAAGGATTCGGGGGCCGCGGTGTTCTCTTCGCACCTGAGGTCGCATATCGTCGGATCGTTTTTCGGTAGCTTTATATTCGGCACGGACAACAACCGACCCTCCCGTTTCATTTGTTTCATCTTCACGATTTTCCTCAGCCTCGGCGGTTTCGGCTCGGCCTCGGGCAACGTTAGGTTCGCCGGCCTGGCGGCCGACGTCGGTTGCTTCGCCGCCGGAACGTTCTCGTTTTGGGCCCGCTGCGGCGGCCTGCTGTTGTTCGTGTTCTCCGGCTCGGCGATCGGGCTCTTCGCCGCCTCCTGCACCGACTGCGTCGTCGTCGTCGTTCGTTTCTTCTCGTCGTTCGACGGGCTATCACGGCCCGGTATCGAGCCCTCCGACGACACCGGGGACTCGGAGTCCACGCTCTCGACCGGCGACAACGAACTCGCGGATTCGTTCACGTTACAGTAAAAAACCGAAGATTTCTGACTGCTACTATCGGTGCCTACCTGTTAACAATGGGGTACTTGTACATACCTTCAAACGACTTCGGACTCGGATTACGTGTTAATGTAAATGGGTCGCTTTTGCGAGGCAGAAAAGCGCCGACGGTCGAACGCTCGAAGCTGTTTTGCGTTAGAGAGAGAGCCACGGACGCCACCGGGACCCCTAAAGGTCAAGCTAAGGCTCGCTTGACCTCCCCTCGGCCGGGACCAAGCGAAAGGACGCGTGAAGCGGGTGTCGAAAGCAACAAGCTTCTTCGTTGGTAATTATGCACCGAGTCGCCGCAATTATAGGACAATCGGGGAAGCTGGGTTCTTCGTGGGAAGATACGTTGGAGGTGCAGAGCGACGTTCTGCGAGACGACTTTTTAACGCTAGAACTACCAAGCCGGTCGAAATGACTGGTTTCTGACCTTTTTCTTTTATGGCTCTTGATGTTATACAAATGCTTTTGGGAGAAATTTTTAGGTATACTTCTTTATTGAGAGAGAGAGAGAAGTATATTTTATAATATAGATGATAGGAAGTCTAAACGAATCCAGTTTTGGCATTGTTATAAAATAATGTATATTAATAGCGTTTAGAGATCGGTAGTTCTGGTGTTAAGGGACACGAGTTGGCCAGTTAGTCGAGTTATTGTATTATATAATATATAATAATAATATAATAAATAATATATAATATATAATAATATATAATATATAATATAGTATATTATATAATTATAGACACGCGAAGTAACTTTTACATTGTTCGGTGCTATTTAAGCAAAAATTTCACAAAACATCATGTTCGTATATTTCTATATTAGAAATAATAGAAACTAGAAACATGTAAATATGACACCTCGTTAATTTTTCGTTTAGGCATCGGTAACAATGCAAAAGTTACTTTGAATCCATCATTGTGCACACCACTGTATCTGTCCTGATTTTGTAAAAACTGAAGCTTCGTATCCGAAAGCATAATATTGACATTTTCATAGATTTTTTTCATGAAATATAACTCATCTTCCTTGATTGTACTATCATTGCAAGATCTAGATTCTCCATCTAGCTGATTTCAATTACCTTAAACCGCAGTTTTATACATTTAAGCAATCGAGTTTAAAATAGAAACTTGAAAAAGTGTTCAAAATTATAGGTAGCTATTTATAGTTATAAGTACATAGTTACATATGTCGTTGAGAAGAATTTGATGAATTCAGTTCTTGGTTTCAAAGATATATTCAAACTTATTTGTATTCATATGTGTTCCATTACGTCGAAATTATTTTTATAGATAAACTTTAACATCTCATAATGCTTACTTGTTCACTTTATGGACGCATTCAACGTTATAAAATAATAATACAAACAACTTCAACATCTCTTAACGTCCATCTCATTTTTTTACTTTCATAAACATAATTTACTTGTCCACTCTGTGAACGTTTCTCGCGTTCTGAGATAATAATATAAATGGATTAATCAAAATTGCACGAACTTTCTAGCAGAAGAAATAATTAGAACGAACCAAGCTAATTGAATAAAAAGTATAGGAGATACATACGCATACTCCTCGCATATACTTTTGAAACCAAAAATGATTGCTGGTTACATGTCATTGAAATCAGTGAGATGTATTCCATTCTGTATAATTACCGTTTCCCGTCTTTACTTAATGTTATTTCAAACCGAATATCTTTGATACTGGTACGACTTATTCTGCTGTCAATGCAATAAAGACGGAACCACTTTTGTTCCACTGACCTCTTTCTTTCAATTTCTGTAACGTATGTAATCGACGCGTTGCTTGTTACACACCGCTTGCCGATGTCATCGAAATATCATCAAATATTGTTTATACAAATATTTCAAATGTTTACAAGTAATTCGACAAGTCGACGAAAGAGTGAGAAATTTGGAGAAGCACGTAAATTGTATTAGTCTTGTGAACTGTAGCTCCACGAACTATAAGTGTATAATAGTTAATTTATCGTTGTTATACAATTGGCTTCCGTTCAACGTTATCGTTTACGTTTTGTGCAAGAATAGCGATCGACGAGTAGGGTTGTTCTGTCGTGTTTGAAATAACATACAAGGTAATTTCGATTGTGTTCGACAAACAAGTTAACGTTGTTCGAACAAATGTGAAACAAATGAGCAAAACAAACGAAATGGCTGTAGTTCAAAACGTTTCGAATGCAAGGGAGATCATGTTCACTTCTCCTCCGATAATATACGTGTACGCACTGTCGATTATACTGAATTACAGCCGGAAAGAATCAACGTTGACTGTGTACCACACTTTGAAATGTGTGCACTCGATCAGAAATTAATCGCATAAAGCAACATATTACTTTTATCGGATTATTAAAATGATTTCCCTCTTCCCAAATTGTCCATTTTCGTGTACAATCTGAGCGTCAATTAGAGGGAGAATTTACTGTATTAACACTGGAGCAACCAAACCAGTCAGAGCGACTGACATTTTACTTTTTTTTACAGTTCTTTTACAGTTACTGAAATTATAGAAACGTCTGAATGAGGAATTGTTTACTAAACTTTTTCACTGCAGCATATATTATATTAAAAATTGTACAAAGTCTGAATAACTGAAATTTAAACACTGTTATAAAAAGTGATATGCATTAATCGCAATTAGAGCTCGGTAGTTCCAGTGTTGAGATCATTTTGAAGCACTTGTTTCAATCCTTGCGCGATTTTGTAACTTTTCAATAATATTGTTACAAAATTAACTTAACTCTATGCTTTGTANTGTGCAAGAATAGCGATCGACGAGTAGGGTTGTTCTGTCGTGTTTGAAATAACATACAAGGTAATTTCGATTGTGTTCGACAAACAAGTTAACGTTGTTCGAACAAATGTGAAACAAATGAGCAAAACAAACGAAATGGCTGTAGTTCAAAACGTTTCGAATGCAAGGGAGATCATGTTCACTTCTCCTCCGATAATATACGTGTACGCACTGTCGATTATACTGAATTACAGCCGGAAAGAATCAACGTTGACTGTGTACCACACTTTGAAATGTGTGCACTCGATCAGAAATTAATCGCATAAAGCAACATATTACTTTTATCGGATTATTAAAATGATTTCCCTCTTCCCAAATTGTCCATTTTCGTGTACAATCTGAGCGTCAATTAGAGGGAGAATTTACTGTATTAACACTGGAGCAACCAAACCAGTCAGAGCGACTGACATTTTACTTTTTTTTACAGTTCTTTTACAGTTACTGAAATTATAGAAACGTCTGAATGAGGAATTGTTTACTAAACTTTTTCACTGCAGCATATATTATATTAAAAATTGTACAAAGTCTGAATAACTGAAATTTAAACACTGTTATAAAAAGTGATATGCATTAATCGCAATTAGAGCTCGGTAGTTCCAGTGTTGAGATCATTTTGAAGCACTTGTTTCAATCCTTGCGCGATTTTGTAACTTTTCAATAATATTGTTACAAAATTAACTTAACTCTATGCTTTGTAATATAACGCGACGCTTATTATGCTACAGACATATGTAGAACAGCCGTTGCTTGCAATAATTGGATTAGCTGAGCGCAAATATTTACCAGCTTCTATCCTGAATTCCCCAAATTGTGTTCAAAATGCCTTAAGAAATATTTCAAAAGCGAGAACGTATGATAATTATCCTTCCGCGTCTGAAAATAATTAGAATTGCGTTGTCGCAATCGCAGATAGCGAAGCGGTCGATGCTATCGATAATTATTATTCGGAAAACTTCGTTTCCTATGTTAAGCTTCATTGTAAACAGAATTCGAACGCAACACGATTAGTAAGTCGTTCGTTCTCCGGCAAAACGTTACATTGGTCTACACACAAAATTGCGCCTGAAAGCTTTCAAAAAGCCTACGTTTTCTATCTCGCTTTTTGTTAAATTCTATTAAGCTCTATGAAGCTCGTATACAGACATATATTCATAAAAATGATTACGGTACCGTTGGTTTCCTCGCGATCAGCTAGGAGAATAAATTGTGTGGTCAAATTACAGTAACGTCTCCCTAATTCGCGCTCCGATTGCGCACAAAAATGGACGATTTGGGAAGAGGTGACACGATCGTTCGAGCCTTGCGACTTTCATAGTTATTACAATTAATTTCATACTCGTATAATATAATTATAATTAATGTAGTTACAATATATAATATAACATAAAGTTTCACATAATTTCACAGTTATTAGAATCGCGTCTCCTCTCCCCAAATTGTCCACTTTAGTGCACAATCTGAGCGCGAATCAGGGAGAAATTACTGGTTTTTCTTTCGTCGCACGAGCGACTGTGGTTAATTTCGTCACGTTGGCTATCATTAATACTCTAACAGCTACCACACCGGCTTATTAAAGATTTCCTCTCTATAACGAACAATTTCCGAAAAAGAAAAGAAACGTATTCCCTCGGTGTCGCGCGTTCAGACTTTTCAAGCAATTCTGTAGAATACGAGAACGCGGTGAATATACGACGAACATTCCTTCGCGATCGACCCGGTTTCTATATCACGATGGACGCGCGAGACGCATATATTTCAGACGGAAGTGTGTAATTAATTCCCCTTGCATATCGTGATATCTCTGAGAGAACGTGTGTGTTCGAGTGAATATAATATAAAAAAAAACAGAAAAGCATACAAGTACCCCATTCTGAGACGTCACCAAAGCCGGCGAGAAAGTACTTTTTATTTTCAGATCGACCTTGCTGAGCTGCCTCTTCAGGCTGAATCCTTTCCAGCCGTGGTTTTTCGCGCACTCCTCTTCGCTCGCCGGCTGGCCGGCCGGCTTGCTAATTTCGTTCGCTGGCTCCTCCGCGGTACGTTTCTCGTTATTGCAGCCGGCTTGCTGTTCACCGCGTGCTGGACACTGTTGTTGCGATTGCTGTGCATTCTCGGCTACCATTGCTAATAAGGCTTCAGACGGCACTGTAGAGTCTCGGTGAGTCTGACGAATTCAACATGTTGGATTTTGCAGAATGAATCAAGGCACACGAGAAACAGCAATTAGATTTAATACTAAGCTCTAGAAGCAGTTAATCAGTTTGCCGCATGTTTAGATGCGTGAACACAGTATACAGCATTATTGCATGTGTTGTAATGTCGTTAGGAACGCTTGCTTCTCTTCTTAACTGTAGAATCTATATCGTTTATACATTATATATATATACACATACATATAATAATCCTGCGTGTACTCCTGTGATTTGTTTTGCAACAACGAGCATAACGAATAGTACAATCCTTGGAGTCCTTATCGTTCTAATTGTTATATAGTAATGCTAAACTGTTAACTGGAGAACGTATGGTGTTAATAAGACAGTTGTTTAGTTACAAGCGGAGAAAAGTGTGATCGTCGAATCAAGGCGGTGATGTGGTCGGCCCTCAAACGGATAGATATCGCAAACGTATGGTCACTTGTCACTTCCCAAATAGGCGTTACGTTCGAGAATGATCGCAATGGATAAATAGTGCGGACAAGGGAAGGCGTTCGCACATTTGAAATCAACAATGCGGTTGTTCGCATCGGTGACGTACCTAAGATGCTCATAGAAACAATATGTCGACGCATTCCTTTTTTCTTCTCACCGCGGGACGAGAACTTTTTTGGAAAACGTAAATTACACATTTGAGAATTCGTCGATTCTACGGAAAGTTCGTTTTGCGAATAAAAACCACTGCCTCTCGTTCGGTTTCTTTTCATTTTACTCGGTTTCATCGACGACACGTTGAATAAAATTATTGTGAACCTTAAAATTACGCGGGTTCTTAAAACGACACGAAATTACGATCATGTCCCAAAAATGTCTCGCAATCCGGAAATGGGAGGTTCCTGGGAGAGCTTTAAGACGATTGTGCCGAATTCTTTTTTATAGATTGACCTAGAATTTTTTGTACCCATCGTTTAGGGAATGAAGAGACGAATTCTGCAAGCATATATATAGTTTTTTTAGGATGTAAAAACTGCAGATTTGCCTATAAAAATTCGGTACAATTATTTTAAAGCTCTCCTTAAACCATGTTATTTTATCTGAAAAACTTTCCACCCTGTGATGCATCCTGTATATAAAAGTTAGTAACTTAATTATCACTTTAAATAATTGTAATTTAATTTAATTTTATTATCAACGACCTTGCATCGATTATTCAACTTTACCTTCGTCTGCACTGCTATATCCATTTTTAATCGTATCTTTGTTGCGTCGTATTTCCAAAAATCTAATAAAATATTTTCTGGAATTCTCGAATCTCAACCGATTACGTTGAAAATAATAAGAACGGGAATTTTGACGCTTCCTAAATAAACTATACTACACTTTATCCGATAACTTCAGTTTCTCGCACACGCATTTACCGTTTCTGTCACCGTAGACTAGGCAGCTGTCCTTACGCAATCACAATAAGAAACGATAATTATCCGTGCGTTAATGTACTTATAAAAAATACTTGACATCCGTAGCTAAAAAAAAAACATCAACGTTAAACGAATACGTTTATCAACGATTTAACTATAAATGATGAAGAGCATGCGTGTTCGAACATTAACGAAATTTCAATTCCAATCTGTGTGGATCAATTGGTTCTCGCAACATTACAACAAAATTCTGACAACGTTCGTAAGCAGAAAACATATTCGTGAATAAAACGCGTTTTTACGTGGCAAACAAGTAAAGATAAAAAAATGGAATCTTCTCTGCGGAAGGATTTTTTTCAAAGAACGTTTCTATTATAATACTTTGGTAAGGCAGCACCGCGTTCGTTCGTTAAAACCGTCGAAGCCATAATTCAGCGCGTATATCGTTTCAGGATTAAATCGGGCTACATACTTGGACATCGCAAAATATATGCCTAGCGTGTTCGAAATGGAACAATATAGATACTGTCGCAATTTGCATAGTTGCAAGCAAATGTATCGGGACATTCTAATATTCTCGTTAAACGGAGTAACTAGCCTAATTACTTTGGTGATTACGTTTAGAAATATTTAAAATCACCTGGTACGACCGTCATGACCTGATTAATGCTGTCGCTTATAGCTGTGATAATCATACGTAGCTGAAACATTTCAGAAATCGTGGTTACAAGTCAAGAACAATTATCAATCTCTGCGAGATTTACTCTAGAAATTTACTCTAGCGTGGCTAAATTATGCAACTTTTGTTTCCTTCATACTTTCGTTTACTTTCAACGATACGCCTGTCTTGTTAAGTAAGAAAAAAAAGCATAGTGCACTCGCGAAATAGCCTATTAATTTCTTAAAAACTTTCAAATGGAAGAACAAAGGCAAAAGTCAGCGTGTGTATGTCGTGTGTTTATCATACAGGATTAATTGTATCTATATTAAGAAGCTACGTGCTTAAATATACGAATACATTACGGTCACTATAATTAATCAACATGATCCTTTTACATTGTATTATCTGATCACCAGACAATAGAATATAATTCTCTTAGAACTTAACAGATTCAAAATGTTCATACTTACATTCACATATATCATTTCAGAAGTGAATCGAATACGAAGGAACCTAACTTTGCTACGTAAACACACAGACACATTTTCGAGATATTGCTTTTGTGTGCAGGTGATCGCGACACTCTTATTGCTACAGAAAAAGGTTCAATCGTGTTCATGATAGATAATTGGTATAATAGCAATTTCTTGTTCATGCTGCTTCTATGTGCTTGCAAGATTGTGTCTCGAATGAAAAAGATTACAAAAATGTAATTACATAAACAGCGTGTCCCGGAATTTGTGCCTGATCTTTCAATTATATTTAATTATCTCTCAATTTTTGAGGTAAATACAGTATTAAATATATACTTAATTACTTTCTTTATTTGCAAATAATATCCAGAATTTAGATTCAGTGATATTAATGGCAGCAGTGCTGTTAAGAAAAGTGCTGTTATTAGAAGTATTAAAAAGTACTAAAAGTAGTAAGTATAAGAATATTAAATTTATTAAAGTATAGTTTTACTCTCCTTCGAGTACTTGCTTCGTAATTATATAATAACTACGAATTATACTTTTTGCTTTTGATACATTTATCAAAACATTTACGTGCAAACAATAAAACACCTCTACAACTTTGAAAACTATTTATAAAGTTCTCAGAGAACACTTATACGAAAAGAAATTAAATTACGATTATATGTGCATAGTATGTATAGTGGAAATTTTGAATTGGATCATTTCAATGTAACATGTAACTTCGATTTACACTGAGCCTCCACGTATTTCACACGTTTCTAGTATATGTGAATGTAACAACGGATTAAAGTGCAACAACAATGTTCAAACTAATACAAGAAATACATTTCTCTGTGAATCTTGCTTTCTTTTGACGATCCATACACAGACGTACTTCAGTGTGATGCGACCACTTATCGTTGCCAGCTATTGTTTATCAACGAAGCAGCAATTATTCTTACGATACTCATGGCTTTTATTCAAAATTATCCAGTATAATTCTCTGTTGAAAATCTACACAATGATAAGAATGTCATATTTTATAACGAATACTTCCTTACACTTTTCTTGAAAAATATATAATTATTGTAACAAGCTCGAAAACAATTTCCACGTAATTATTATCACTTTGGATAATTCATGATAAAAAGCGTAAGTACCTTAAGAAATGGATCTGCCAGCAAATTTATTTTAATTTTAATAGGCTGCATATTCCATGCAGGTTTACCATTCTGTTGTTTATCGATCACTTTTCTTCTCGATGGAATCTTAAATATTTATTGTTACACAACTTTTCGTATCGTTCAGAGTGGTTTGCACGAAAAGGAAAAAGTAAACTTTTATCCACTGACATTTACGTGAACGGTACACGAATTCTCTTTGCGAAGCCGCAATTTTCGATTTGATTTGCAAACAACGCGATTGCAATAATAAATTGATATTCCATTTTCACGTTCATTGTTCAGCGTTGCAATTGCTTGAGTTCCTGCGTACAATTTTTGGTACGTGCACAGTTGCCATCAAACGTTTATGTGAAAATTGGCGTACTATTACATTTGACTGCGTTCGCCAGTACAGTAAAATCTCCCTAATTGACACCAGGATTGTGCACGAAAATGGATAATTTGGGAAGAGGAGATACGATTATTCGTCTCGTTTTTATAGCTACCAATTGCCAATAGCTATAAAAATGATTAGCAAACTATTAAAATAATCGTATCTGCTCTTCCCAAATTGTCCATTTTTGTGCGCAATCCGAGCGTCAATTAGGGAGACAATTCCCTAATTATAGTAACGGCGTGAACTTTTGTAGCAGCTGGTAAAATTTGTCGGGCACTTTTTAGCTACTTTTTTGGTCGTGTGTTGCTTGTTACGTTCTCCATTTCTACCTGACGTTGAGTATCGATCGACTGTCTAAATATGAACAAAAGCCAACGACAAAAAAACAGAAAAACGTCATCTACTAAATCGACTACCTACTTCCATCGGATTCGTTTTATCCATCAACAACGTAATATCGCATGTCATGGAACGTAAAATGAAAACATTCTAACTGTTTCGTAAACGAAAAAGTAATATTGTTCTTACTTGTTTCAACGAAGGCAGACACATAGTTGGCTAAACATTAAATGCATAAGAGACATGAGTAAACTATTTGTACGTTTCTTTCTTCTTTTTTTTTGTTTTTAATTGATTAAGAACGGTGGTTTTGGTATTTTGGAAATATGTGTATGGAAATATTCGTGTGCAACGTGTGTATATATAAGTAAATATTTCTGTAATATGTATATCTTGTCGTTGAGGAGAGTATGTACTCCAGTGTGGATTTTTGAATAATTTCTGATGCAGCGACTTACATAAATCTGTTACAACTAAATCAACTACTCTCGGCTCATGGAAAATGACAAGTTTGACCACTAGTTGCCGATAACATTCTCGTTTGTCGTTTATAACAAATCTTAATTTAGTCTGGTAGTCTAATTATTATATTTCTCTCCTAGTGTTCTATATTCTAGTGTTCCAAGCAGAAGATAAACATGTGCCGTGTATGCATGTGTGTACGTATGCTTTGTAATCAGTATGAAATGTATTTTTAGTAGTTCATCGAATTTATTGCATTATTGAAATAGAATCGTGGGCAACTATTTTACTATCGTCAAATGAAAGATTAAAGTTGCTAAAAGAATTTGCGAGAAACAATGGAAATTGAAAAGAATGAGAAACGTTTATTTAGAAAATTTCATAAGTTGTATCAATAACTAAATGCACTGGTTCTATCGGCGCGAAACAAAGACAAAGTTGACAAGGTAGCAAAATAATTGCGTTAAAAACCTATAATGAAACTTGGATACTTGTGTGTATAAATATTAACATTTTCTGATTACTCACGACTGTACTTGTATATCTGTAATAATGAGAATACAATTCCTGCATGCAGGCAAATTTTCTGCTTGGAATAAGTGAGAATACTACTGGTTTATTATTAACTTAAGCGATAGAAACTTTCTTTTTTTTATCTAAAGAGATGAGTATAGAATCGATTGCATGAGGCGCAATCATGAATTCGGAAGAACAGACTCAATGATAAGAACCAAGCTTTAATGGCGTGTTTCGTATTCGATGATTAATGTTAATTACACCTTGCATTTTTTTTTATACGTTAGAGTGTTAATATAAAGGAGACGTTCTTGCGATGTTACCGACGTAAGTTTTATTCGATTAAACAGTTAGTCGGTTCGATAACGTATATATTTATTATCGTAAGATTGATTATTGTCCTCGCTAGGGATTGTTTAAGAGTTGTTATTTCTAGCTTAAAATGGTAAATGCGAAATATGGTAATACTGTAAGGCAAAATTCGATGATATTTGTTAAATAACGTAATGCGCCAGTTAACTTTCTGGAAAAATTAAATGGTTTATTCGTCTAAAATGTTTTTCGTTTTACTTATATATATTATCGTCGAGGGTCCTATTGGATGACAAAAAAGGATATATATGGTAACACCAACATATAAAACACTGTCGGGATGCTAATCGAAGATATACGGTCGTATGATAAATGATTATTTAATGGAGTCTTGGCATTGGCAATGAAAGCTGTTACATATCATGGTAACATTATTGAAACTGGAAAACGTTATAATATTTACAAAGGATAAGAAGACTTATCGAGAGTTACGAATTTCAGTGACAAACTGAACATTCGTGTTCTGTAGTCTTTTTACAATCATGCAATAATGAAGATAAATTACTTTCAGTGGCTAGGAGAAGCACAAGAAAAAAAATAAATATATATATATAAAAGTTTGAGAAAACATTTTTTTCGGTTGTAGTCGAAAAATATGGAGAGAGGGTAACAATTTGAACATTTAGAACGATCATTATTAAGAAAGAAATACATTTTACCTGATCTGTGCTAGGACTCCTCGCTTTGTCTTCGTTTTCCCGTTTCAAGTCGTCCTGTCGCTTAGGGCTGCGTAGCACGCGTTGACAGGGGTCTAAGTTACCACCAATATCCGCCGTGCTCAACACAACCAAAGATATTTTCTGCACGATGTCTATTACTACCAAACCAGTCTCGTTTCCGTAAGCCATTCTGCAATTAGACAATTTTATCATGGTCCATATAATCCAAAATCAAGTCTCTATGTTGTTGCAAACACTTTTAAATATTGTAACTCTATGAAACTCTACAAGATTTGCAAAACGAATCAATATATTTTTCTGCAAAATTTCTACGTATGTTTCAAGTCTCACGGGTGAAGGCAATTCTGTAATTAAATTACCAGAAACTGGAAAGTTAAATACGATCTTTGCAGGATTGATTTCAATCTTAAATTAAAGTAAGATTTTTCAATATTCTAATTCTATGTAATTCTATAAGATTTGCATAAAGAATCAATATATTTTTCTGCAAAATTTCTACACATGTTTCAAGTCTCACAGCTGAAGGCAATTCTGTAATTAAATTGCCAGAAACTGGAAAGTTAAATACGATCTTTGCAGGATTGATTTCAATCTTAAAATTAAAGTAAGATTTTTAAATATTCTAACTCTGTGAAACTCTACAAGATTTGCAAAAAGAATCAATATATTTTTCTGCAAAATTTCTACACATGTTTCAAGTCTCACAGATGATGGAAATTCTGTAATTAAATTGCCAGAAACTGGCAAGTTAAATACGATCTTTGTAGGATTGATTTCAATCTTAAAATAAAAATAAGATTAAAAACTCTTGATATATTCATACGCGCATCAAGTAAGTGCAATAAATAATTTCAGGGTAATCAACCCCTTTTTACACGGTTTTTTAGTTAGAATTTCAGCGTTCCTCGATATCGTGCGTCGTTCGACCGAATGTTAAGCACAATTATGGTACTTACAAGCCATAGGAAGTGTTCAAACTAAGCGCTGTTATATTCTCAGGTTGTTCACCGCTGGGAGCAACCGTTAAGCAGATCAATGTCGCCTGAAAGCCTGCAGCTCGCTTCTGTAAACCACTCTTAACTTTTAGCGGTTGATTCGATTCAGAGTTTTTAGTTTCGCTACTTCCTGAAGTATTACCAGCCGGAGAGTCGTGGTCGGAGGAGCTTTCCGCCTCTTTCGGTTGATCCGGTGTTAGCGAGATCTCCAATGTCTATAACGCATGAAAACGAGGCAATTATAAAGATGAAATGAATCGTTAATCCCGAAGAAGTATCACGGTACACGACGTAACGTGAGAGATATCTGCATAGATACATGAGTCGTAAAACCTTTTGATCTTTTTTTTTTAAATATCATCCACTGCTTTTCTAATACGTTACTTGAGACATATTGCTTCTGTAATTTAATAAAAAAGAAAAAGCTTCTGTAATAAGTGAAATTTATGTTTTCGCTGATAATGGTTACTGTCTTGATAATACTTTGTAAACAGCACGAATGAAGTGTGAGCCAGACATGCAAGCAATGAATAATACTCGTGCTAGATTTCAGCGATGAGAGCTGCCCGTGACCGTGAGAGAGTGGTTGCACAGCGATACGAGGTGAAAGTATAGAGAAAGATCAAACGATTTTCAAGATACATGTTTCTAGAAAGTCCTTTGTCAGTTTCGCAGATATGAAATGGATTTTAAATCGCTTAGAACCGCGTTTTACTCATTAATTCGTTGTTTAGTGATTTTAAAGAATGATTGGAATCTCGCATTCTTTTCTTTGCGGTAACGACAGTTAAATTAAGAAAAGCGTCATCGCTATGACCGATCGTTATCCCTAATGCAGACAGATTCAAGCGTACGAGGAATTTCACAGAGAAAATGGATTAATTCTAGTTCTGTGAAAAGAAAAGCGTAAATGAGACATTCGTGGAATGTTTCGGAAACGTTCTCTAAAGGTTGCTACTTGAGAATCTTACTTCGCACGAAGCTTACTGCATCTACAATAGAATTATTTCTTCCAATAATATTTAATGCAGAGTGCGCTATAAATTCTATTGTATTCTCAGGGTGAAAAATATTATCACAAGTTACAATAACAACGCGTGAAGGGAGAACAAATTACTTACCACCACTTCAGACATACTCTCTACTTTTTTGAATTTAAACAAAACAACGTGTTTCCCGCTTCCCGCGACCGCTAATTTCCGACTTTCCGGACAGAGAAAGATCAGCTGTATCGCCAATGGGTCCTCCTCCGAGTCTATACTACGCGTTCTACCTTTCTCGAAAAGTTTGGCTGTCTTTAATTTATAAAGGACTTGTAAACTACCCGCTGATGCGTCCCAAAATTTTAAACTGCCATCAGCGTGCCTGTAACAAACAAATATTCGTGTCTGAATGCCTCGTTTAAACTACTTTTCACCTGTGCATGAAAATCGTGAACAACTATACAGCATTACAAACTGCTCGATTCTCTGTTTCTCTTATTTTCCCAGCAGGTGCAGTAAATTCTCCCCAATTGTCTCTCAGCTTGGGATTTTTTAATTCCGTTTTTGTTTACAAGTTGGAGGGACAATTGGGGAGAATTTAACTGTGTATGTAATAATGTTATTTTCGGTTTTTAATACGTTCCCGGATAATCTTCACAGTGATTGTATCGATGATCGCATTCGCCGAAATACGCCGTGGATCGTAAATCATGGCAGAATTGAGGTAAACAAGATTTTATAGCTCGATGCGAGACGGGAATAAAAATAACGCAAGATCGTAGCCTGGTACAAAAAAAAAAGGTCCCGAGATTTACTGCAGACTATCTCGTTTTGAAACTGTAATCATTTTTGCATCAGCCTAATAATAGCACATTTGATTCGGGGACTTCTCAAGGACGAGTAACTATTGCAAAAATAACAGATATAACTCTTTTTCTCGTTTGATACAAAAGATACAGCAACGGTATACAGGGTGTCCCAAAATTATGGTACTTTCTGAGATCATTTGAAGCAACTTTACTTACTTTTTACTTCGAGTGACCTCAGGAACCCCTAATTTCCCGGAAGTACCATAATTAAGTAAATAATATATATATATATATACATATACAGAATATTATTTACTTGTTATATAATATAATAAGTAAATAATATTCTGTATATTTTTTTCTCGAAATAGGAACAAAATCTGTTACTTTCGCATTTGGTAGATTCGCTTCATACATTCTGCGAGAGACATTCTAATAACTTGATTTAATAGGGATATAATTAAATTACGATAAACTATGAACGTGCGCTTACCCCGTAACAATAATTTCGTTATAACTACTTGAGCTCGAACTCCATTCCCCGCCAGATATCGGCCAGTCCTTTTCGCTAAACCCTGTCTTTTTCTGTGACTTGGATCCGACTGAATAAAAGGCAGGTACTAAATCCGATAGACAGTCCGCGAAGTATGCACAACATGTCACCGGTGACTCGTGTATGTCCATTGGGTATGGATTTTCGAAACATGGAAATCCGGAAGTTAATAAATCTATCACAACCAAGTCGTTTTGCAGTAGAACCACGACAGCATACGGTTCCTGATAATCTGTACAGACAAAGTAGAATGATCTATTACGATCGAAATAATACAATTGAAACCGTTGTAATAATATAACATAATAATAATAAAATATAACGAATACACAATATATAAATATATTAATAATAATAATAATAATAATATATTAATATATTATTTATATATTAATATATTAATATTATATTATATATATATTAATAATATATTAATAATAATTTGTGCCCACTATTATGCGAATTTCACGTATCGCAAATATGTAATAAATATTGTTCGATCAATCAGTTATTTTTAAACGTTATTAGCTATTTCTTATTTGAAATCAATTTAAATCAATCAATTATAAAGAGCCGACGAATGAATTTGAAAAAAATGATGTACCACTCGTCCATGGATTTTCGCACAATGTTATGAAGTCTATCACGTTATGCTCCATTTCTAACACAGTAGTGGTTTTCCCGTGTATAACGGTTATGCTTGGGGTTCGCCCAGTTGTATCGTATGCCAAGCCGCCGGAAAATATGACGTATGCTTCCCTAAGAACAGAAAGCGCACAGTATTAAGCAAAACTCTCACTCTCGAAGCTCGAGGTTTAATTTTTCAAAATCGATCAATGCTGAACGATATTGAATGCAATCAATATAACGTATAATTAATTAAAATAGAACAGGGACAAATGAAAATTGGAATCATGCTCACTGTCTATAAAGACTTAAGGGTCGACAAGAAAATAAACTCAAGAGACTTCAAAGTGTTATAAGAACAACGTGAAATCTTGAATTTTGAGTATCTCTTTAATTTAATATAGCAAGGACGATACAAAGTACGAGGCAATAAAAATAGATAATAACAAACTCACCCCGATCTAGAGAGCTTCCACTCGACTTTCTGAATTGGTTTGCACGGTTCCGGTTCGCCATCCTTAGTCGTTTTCGCTGGAAAATACATGTATGCGATCGTGCGCGTCATTGCAATTAAAAACTGCAGCCACGCTATTTCGATATACAAAATTGAACACACCGCGACATATCGCTGGTTTATTGATTACCATTTTCACTTGACCCGTTTCGCGCGCGTTTTCCAATCAAAATTTGTTAACTAACTCAAATTTTCGAACTTCGATTCGGTCTGTGCGTGCGTATTAAGGATAAAACGGAAAATATGTGCGCGGTGACCGCCGCCTCTGCGTGTGCACGCTAATAACAGTTTAGCGCCGATCTGGTTGAAACGTTCGACGTCGGCCGACATTATAGTAAATCTACCAGCAACCTCCGTGCAACACGAGGGATCCTTACAACATGGTTACGGAGCCGGGCCAGGCATTCGTGCGACGTGACATTTTCGCTGAAAGGGAAACGAAGTTCAAGGGACAACATGAAAAAATCGCGTTCTCTAAAGATCGTCGCGAGGGAACGTGGACAAGCAAAAATAGCTCTTGAATGAAACGGAACGTGGAAATAAAAGTGTTACAAAGAAAAGCGCAAGATGAACATTTCGCGGCGAAGAACGCGGTCCCCTTTTCATCCGGGGCTTAGCGGTATAATAAAGGAGAGAAAGAGAGATTAGCTTGCGCTGTTCAACGCTAACGTATACGGTGGCTCGAAAAATGGACGATTTGGGAAGAGGAGGCACGATTTTCATAGTTACTGACAATCGGTAAATATAAAAGGGAGCCGCGAGACTCGAATAATCGTAGCTGCTCTTCGCAAATTGATCATTGTACCAATAATGATATCTCCTATTCACAGATTGTCCATTTTTGTGCGCAATCCGAGCGCGAATTAGGGAGAAATTACGATCTGAGCGCGAATTAGGGAGAAATTACGATCTGAGCGCGAATTAAGGAGAAATTACGATCTGAGCGCGAATTAGGGAGGAATTACGATCTGAGCGCGAATTGGGGAGAAATTACAATCTGAGCGCGAATTAGGGAGAAATTACAATCTGAGCGCGAATTAGGAAGAAATTACGATCTGAACGCGAATTAAGGAGAAATTACAATCCGAGCGCGAATTAGGGAGAAATTACAATCCGAGCGCGAATTAGGGAGAAATTACAATCTAAGCGTGAATTAGAAAGAAATTACAATCTGAGCGCGAATTATGGAGAAATTACAATCCGAGCGCAAATTAGGGAGAGATTACAATCTGAGCGCGAATTAGGGGGAAATTACAATCTGAGCGCGAATTAGGGAGAAATTACAATCTGAGCGCGAATTAGGGAGAAATTACAATCTAAGCGTGAATTAGAAAGAAATTACAATCTGAGCGCGAATTATGGAGAAATTACAATCCGAGCGCGAATTAGGGGGAAATTACAATCCGAGCGCGAATTTGGGAGAAATTACAATCTGAGCGCGAATTAGGGAGAAATTACAATCTGTGAGCGTCAGTATGGGAGAACTTACTGTATTACGCGTATAAATACAGTAGAAATCGATCTCGCGAAAGTCTTTCAGAGTTAAGAAAATTAAACTGTATACCATTGACACAGTGAAATATAACAGACGTGCAAGATTTTCCAGGAATGTGCGAATACTTTTCGCACGCGAATATCTTGCGTCTCGTGACAGCTTCGCGGCCACTTACGACGCCGTTCGCATAATACGTTAAGAAAGAAGAAATCACGGGGGTTGCTGGTACGTACGTCGAAAGAAAAGATCGTGTTTTACCGTGGGGGTGCGTGACATTTGTCGGTTTCACTTGGCGCAGCGTCCATGTTGACAGGGAGCCGTCGGTGTGACTACACATGAACTGTTTACCCTCGTGATGCCATGTTATCGATCTGAGCGGTACATCGCTTTGGCATCTGTAATCCGCGTTCTTCGTTTTCAAATCCCAAAAAACTATTTGCCCCGACTCATATCCTATCAGCATCTGCAAGCAGAATTGAGGAGCGTGAACGCGGCACGCGCGTGTCTCTTTCGCGTATCGACGGAACGTGTCTTTTCTCCTACACGACTAGACTAAGGAAAAAATGTTAAAAACACGAAGGTTCTGCGATTGAATCGAACGGTCGCAGCGCACGGTAATCGCGTCCGTTATATTTTCTTTTTTTTCTTTTTTCTTTTTTTGGCACCGCGAAATTATGATACAGTTCGCGGATACAGAATGATAGAACGGTGGATGCGAATGTAGTGTGCAGCAGCATGATCCTTAAAAAAGTTCCAACGGGATTACTTCGAGCGTAACGATCGATAAACACGTGAGAGTTGCGTCAAGAATTGCAATATGAGCGGTTCGATGATGATGTTTCCAATGAACTGAACACATTTAGACGATATATAGAATAGTAGAACGTGCACACAGTTTCCCTGCCGATACACATGATGCACACCGACACGTGGAGATTCGACATACAGAGTTAATTGGAAATTCCAGTCCGTTCTTCTTTGCTTTTCGTTGCTGCGACGTCGCGCTTGGCTCAGTGATTTACGAGCCGGGCCAGTTTAAACTCTAACGAGCGGCAAGAAAAAGGTATCGTAAAGGAGGACAGTCGAAAATGTCCATTTTTCATCTCGCGTGGAAACGTCTCTGCGGGGAATTTGCGGGTGAATTTGCGGGTGCCTTCGAAAGAACTTTGGTAGAAATATGATGAGAATGTAATATCCAATTGGCGTGTCTGTGTACGTTAATGTAAAGAAAAACGACGGTGATAGGCTTCGCTTGGACGTCAATTTTCGTCTCTGCCTCCTTGAAGAGTCGATACATCGTTGAAGTAATTGAAAGATCGACAGTTTGAACAAACAACGTTAGAACAACAAACATTAGAGAACAAAATTGGAATACCATAAAATTTGATTGCTTGACACACCGTAAGATTTGATCAAAGACATACTTTTTTTCGTTATTACTAATACTTGCGCCAAATATATTAAATATAATAATAATGATAGTCGATAAAAAACGCTACGCGTTTTATTATGTCGTCGGTCATTGCATATTTATGTTTCCAAGCTGATAATATGCTCGCCGAGCGCAATTTACTTTGAACAATTTTATAAAACTCATTGTTTGAATATGGACCATTGTTTTTATGGTTCCTCCGCTTATCTTGATGCTGGCCTAGTATTCTCGAGTAGACGAAGATGAATCGTAACGTCCAGGCAAGAACGATCGTCGTCATATTTTATAATAATTATAAAATATTTCATATTTTTTTTGTTTTATTACATTCACTTCACATTTCAAATAAACGCAGGCAACATTTTTGACTCTTTAAAGGACACATTTTCGACCGTCCTTCATCGTATCGCGAAAATTGTTCGTAACAAATACTCGACCTTGGACAAATTAATAATCGAATACACGATCTCGAAGACGTAAACGGTAATAAATGACGTTCTCGAACAATTTTAAAACGGACGAATAGCGTCCCCTGCAGTCTTTCCAGGGTTCACAAGTTCAGAAAGGTTCTGGAATTCCTTTATTACACAAAAAAAAACGAGAGCAACACTGTTTCTATGCGCACGGCATTTCGTTCGGAAACTGTAGTTTCCTTGTGCAACTTTGTAGAACGTCATAGCAAAACTAAATTCGCCTAATACCTTTCCGTTTGTGACGAAAAGGTCGAATACGTACGCGTTGACATTTCTCTTCTGAAAAATCATGGTTCTCCAAACTCTTCGAGGTCGAAGT